CTTCAGCTCAAGGTAGCGCTCTACCACTTGAGCCACAGCACCACTTCCGGCTTTTTCTGCTTATGTGGTGCTGAAGAATCGAACCCAGGGCCTCATGCATGCAAGGCAAGCACTCTACCACTGAGCCACCTTCCCAGCCCTATTTGCCCTTTTTGGTTATAAAGAATTATTATTATTTTTTGGACTCCACTTGCTTTTTGTAAGGCATATTTTCACAAAATTAAGGACAAGGAACCACTCGGAATAATCAGACAACAATTTAAACACAACTAATGATAACTGGGATTTTTTTCTACACCAAGTGAGCTGCAGAATTCATGTGCAGCAATTTCCAAGTTTGGTTTCTGAAATTTTTTTTTATTTTATTTACCTTTTGACCTTGCTTAGTCAAAACCACATGTAATAAATCCATGAATAATACAGGCTTATTGTACTCTTGCCTTCTAGACTCTTTGTTTCTACTACTTATATAAACCTACTGTTTTAGAAGATACTAATAAACAACAACAAATAAATGAAAAGATACAAATACAATGACCCATCCAAATCAATATCTTCCTCTAGAGATAGTCCATAGTGTATATTTTTTCATTCTAATTCTTTTATTTATTTAATTTTTTTTTTGGTTGGTTGTGGAGCCTGGATTCTTGGCCTGGGCACTGTCCCTCAGATCTTCAGCTCAAGGCTGGCACTCTTACCACTTGAGCCACAGCATCACTTCCAACTTTTTCTGCTTATATGGTACTGAGGAATCGAACCCAGGGCCTCATGCATGCAAGGCAAGCACTCTATCACTGAGCCACCTTCCCAGCCTTTACTAATTCTTTTAAATACTTGTACTTCTCTTCCAGTGTTTCTACTTAGGAATAATGAAGAATGAACATGAGAGAAAATACCCCTAAGTCAAGAGTGTAATAAATTTTCCTCTTTCTACGCATTCCATTTTTTTTTGGGGGGGGGTACGGTCGTGGGGCCTGAACTCTGGGCCTGGGCGCTGTCCCTCAGCTCTTCAGCTCAAGGCTAGCACTCTACCACTTGAGCCACAGCGCCACTTCCGGC